CACGGGTCTTGCCCGTGTTGAGATTGCGCTGGAACCCCCATTCCCTATACTACTTCCAGCAATCTCCTCCACTGATCAAAGTGGGCATTCTAGTCACGTGATGTCTTTCCTAAATAAAGTGTCTCTCTTCTAGTTTATGGAAGCATGAAGAAATACCTGAACCACACCGAGCAAACCCTAGAGTAAGATGCTTACCAATTCATCTCCCTGTATCGCCCGACAAAGGTGTTTCTTCAGAAACATAGAACCCAGAAACATCTCCAGATGACTAACGTTTCTGTCATAACGATGAACAGGGCTGCACAGACGATTGAATGCCGTATGCGAGAGGATGGTGGGGGTCGTAGACGCCCAGGGTTTTGCTATCAGGGGACGGGGTGGGGTTGTTGGTTGTCTTGATGGACCACTCACTGCAGGGTTTTGTCTAGAAGGAAGAGAAATAATAATCAATATCAGTGCTCTGCCATAGTATACTCTAGCAAATGCACCCTGGTTCCAGAGACTCTGACATAGTATATATTTAAAAAAATTATTATTTAGTTTTTCCGATTTTATTTTCACCATTCACTTTTATTTCGAATTAGCTTTATTGATGGATGAAAAGAGGATTTGGAGAGGACTAGTGGTTTCCCGCCTTCGGGTGACCAAGTGAGTGAGTGTGATTCACTTTAATCTAAATTGGGCTCCCTGTGGTACAGTTGACTCTCTCGTCACCAGCTACCGGCCACCTTGGGTGAACTAATAAAACCGTTTACCACAGGAAGCACAAACTTACAATTATTTAATACTCCTAGGCCGGATTGTACGAAGGGTGGATAGTGCAATCCAACGAAAAAATCCTTATCCAATTAATAAGTCATGTGATGCTGTTATCCTATAAGTTTTTGTCCACTGGATAAGATTTATCCATCCGATAGCGGTATACACCCTTCGTAAAACCTCCAGTGCTAAGTCTGTTTGATAACATAAAGACTCAAGAACCAGAGTACGATGTATGCAGATTAGAGACAAACTAGAACAAGCATGAGGATGTCTAAAGGTCAATACCTGTATTTATTGACTTGACTTCCGCCAGGAAGTGGCGACCAAGGCCCTGGAGACTGCATAAAACTATGAGCAGGAGAGTGGCCCAGAAAAGAAGTAGCTGAAACCACAAGTTAGAAAGAGAAAGAAGATACTAAATTGAGTATAGACTGCACAGCATTATATGAGGAAATAATCTTAGATACTCACCAGGGGAGGGGCTGGAATAGGGATTGCTAGGGCTTGGCGCATTGATGGGGTTCGGGGATGGAGTAAAGCCGCCCCGAGAAGACGATGAAGGTACGTTTGGAGAGACATAAATGCTCTGTGAAGGCATAGGTTGTGGTGACGTGAACTGGATTTCTGTTGGCTCGGTATCCATGCCTACTGGTGATGGTGGCACCTCGTCGTCAGCTTCTGAGGTACGCCGGGAAGGAATCCCTCCAGCCATGGCGATATCATCAACAAACAGCTGTAGAAATTGCTGGAATATAGAAACAAATCGACAAATAGAGGTTATGACATGTTAAGAGCTTGATATAGTTTTTATTCACGAGTATCATACCATATAGTTAATCTCTATTAGTTCAATCCACTTACCTTGAGGCTGGGAATGGATGACAGCAAGTTTCTTGGTTTTGACGGGTCCACGAAACTCAAAGAAGCATCTAAATATCAAATCAAACAGTTTAGATTTGAGAATAAGACATTTCTACACAGCTCACAAAAAAAACAAAAAAAACAAAAAAACAAAAAACGCACAAATGCTATATGCCAATTGTCTTACCTCTTATGGACACCAAATTTTTGGCTTTGAAGTGAACCTCCAGAGCGTTTCTTTAATTAAGTTAAGGAGAAAAATAAACAAAAATAATATATAACCCTCATAAGTGCCAGGCTCCAGGGAGGAAAGGAGGAGGAGGGAAAGAAAGACGGGTGATAACAGTTTTTGTAACCATTTCTGACCCTTGTCCACACAGGCCACATTAGATCTCTGGTTTGTAAAATCATAAGATAAAAAGGATACGATCTGTAGATGATGTGGACAGAGGTTGGAGATACAGGTAGAACAGAGAATGTTCGTTGAGCCATATGAGGACGCTGTTAGATGACAGAACAAAAACAAGTAGTTAGATTGGACTGTTACATGCAGAAATATTAATGTGCTTTCCCTCTCCCAGAAACTCGTACAGTTGTGCAACAATATGCAGTAATATATTATCACTGGATACTCTTTATCACATCGCACTAATTAAGTTATGGGTGAGATTTGCGGCTCTCATGACATGACGTAAACATAAAATTTGCCGCCACCAGAGTGGGAAGGGTGAAGGGGTAAGGGGGTGGGAAGAGCGAAGGGGTAAGGGGGTGGGAAGGGCGAAGGGGTAAGGGGGGCGGGGGGGAAAAGGCAATACTCAGCTTCAGATGCTCCGAACAACATTGAGCAATAAGGCATGTGTGTAGAGTTTATTTATACTGCTTCGCACTAATTAATTATTCAATAAGAACTGTGCACAGATGTAAAACCCTTCTGTCCCCTACCTCTTGTGAGTATTGTGAACTTACTGTTATAACCCCTAGCTGGGGCATAGTGGTTAGCTTGTTAATTGAAGATAGAGGCTTCCACGTCTCATGTAGGATCTAAAAATACAAAATATATTATTTGTCAAGGGCCTTTACTGAAGCCCTTATAACAGGATGCATTGTGGTCTACCTTGGGTTTAAATACACCATGTAAGGGAAGATGAACAAAAGATGTTGATACCCAAACTAGACCTAAATGATCACTATATCAGAAACCAGCTGTGCGGTGAACGAGGTGCGCAAAGCATGAGTGGACAAAATGATCTGCCCTAACCATTTTTGGAGCTTTTAAGAACAAAGCAAATTTACTCAGGCTTAGCCTCGAATCAGTGTCTAATTACTTGCAAATACCAACAGTAAAGTAGAGAATGCACAACTTCAACAATACAAAGACTTTGAAACTTGACAGACCTTGACTGGAACACGTGAACATTCTACACAAAGTCGAGGCTAAGCCTGTGCAAATGAGTCTGTAATCAAGAAACACAGCAATAATTTGGAACTTGAAAAGGGTCTAAAGTTCGTATTGTTTTTATTCTTCCTTCTGATATTTCTTCATCTTGTGGGCACGTATATTTTATTTTATTCAAAAGCTACTGAAAAGGAAAAAGAAAAATATGCAAAAAACCGCTGGGTTGCAGTAGCCTGGGAATGAGGGCAAGCCGCAAAACAACTAAACATGCTGTGATATGCCAAAACAAAATTCACAGCTCAGCTGGAAAGATCAATAAATTAGTAAAGACAAAAATAAGCTGTTAGTGTGATATACCTGTATCAGGTAGGGCAGATTAAGTCGTTTATTAAAGTCTTTTTGTAAATGCTCAGCCATTATACGATGTGGGTTATCCATCCCGCTTGAACCACCATGACCAAAGGAAAGGACAAACTGCTTTTCTGTCACTGACCACTGCACTGTTACCTAGCAACGTAAAGTAAACAAATGAGGATAGAAAAACAGAAACCACAACAGAGATACCTCTATTAAGCAGACCCCTTATTAAGGGGCATTGCATGGCTCCAATTTTCCTCAAATATTTACTGAAACGAACCCAGATACACAGATACAGATACCCAGATACCCAGACTAGATACACAGATACAGATACCCAGATACCCAGATAGCACTATAACTTGCTCTGGGAGGCTTTGGGGGTTTAAAATCAAAATAAAAGGGGAATTCCATGTAACAGTTTAAAATACTTACCAAGTTCTGCCTGTCAGGCTCATATTGTATGGTTAGTTGTTTATAAGTATAAGATTCAATGTGAAACATGTGGCGCACATGACTTGTGTTGTCTGAAGAATAAAAGATAAGTTTTTTAATGCATTATATACAGCTAATGGATAGTCAAGATTGTTTTATTATCATCCATCACCATCACCACACACACCGATCATCATCATCACATTCACCATCACTATCATCACATACCATCACCATCACTATCACCATCACCATCATCACCAATATCATCATCACTATCATCACATACTGTACTATCACCATCACCATCACTATCATCACATACCATCACCATCACCATTACCATCCCCACCACCACCACCACCACCACCACCACCACCATCACCATCACCATCACCATCACCATCACCATCACCATCACTAGCACCACATACCATCACCATCACCATCACCATCACCATCACCATCACCATCACCACCATCACCACCATCACCATCATCATCACCATCACCATCACACATAGCATCATTACACACAGCATTATCTATCATCATCATATCATCACCATTATCTTTGTCATCATTAATCAAGTTTGTACCTTTGAGACAAAGATCGAGCTCCAGGGTATGAGGATACAGTTTGCACATGCTACACCAGTCCTCCAGGAACAGCTGGACAGCACTTTGTTTAATGATTTTACCATCAGGCGCACTTATAACAGACATGCTATCATATGTTAGGGTTACTCTCTTGCATTCAGCCTTAGAGGGAGCTGAATTACCTGCAAATAATGAAATGAAAAATTTTAATGCAGTGCAGATACAGGGTGACTTCAAGTATAGGAGTTGATGTTACCTCAAAAACCAATATATATAGCTTCTCCCTTAATTTAGATGTTACCTTATTCAGGCCATTATCAGGTCATTATTAAAGCTTTCCCAGGAAAAGAAATATACTCACTTTGTAAGGGGCTTGATGAGAAGATCAGCTCAAAGACACACTGCCTGTAGTCCTGACAAGTGAATCTCAAGGTGCAGCTAAGAATGTTTTCTTGTAAAGTGCTGACAAGGTCAGGATTGCAGCCTGCTGGTAAGGGAAGATGAAGGATTGGAATACATAAACCAATCCCTGCTTCTGACTGCACTCCATCATGGACTACTTCATTTTGCTTTAACTGTAAGGAGGTAAAAAAAAGTTTTTTATAAATATGTGAATAGATAGATAGAGGTGTGAATAAATAAACCAATGAAGATATTGGTCAAGAGAAAAGGGAAAGATGAAGGGAGGAGGTAAAGAAGGAAGAGAAGGAGAGTGGAAAGGTGAAGGGGAGGGAGAGATCAATGGAGAGAGGATAGAAGAAAGGGAGAAGGAGAGAGAGGGAGGAAGTAAGGGAGAGTGTGAAGGCAAGGGGGAGGAAGGAGGGGGATAGAGGGAAGTAAGTGAATGGGTCGAAGATATGAATGGATGGATATGGATGGGATGAAAATGGAATGTGAGTGAAATAGATGGGTTAGGTTAGTGAATAGGTCAGTGAATAAACGCAATAGATGAGAGAAAGGGGTAAAATGAAAGAATGAAAGAATGAGTAAATCAGACTATAATGGAGTAATAGATGAATGGATTTAAATTACAAATCACCTCATTGCACAACTGCATGAAAGGAATCCTTGCGTCACACAAACAAACAACATGGCCCAAGTCAGCTTGGTAGGATGACACTGATGAACATTCGTTAAAGAGATCACTGGTCGTTCTGGGCTTCTTATTCTGTTGTTGGTCATCATTAATGCACTGTAAATAAAAAACAACACACTTAATATTGGTAATTGCACATTATCACAGCAGCACGTGACCTTGAGTTCTGATTGATCATAACTGTTTTTCATGTGATTTTTCTTTACAACCACATAGGATTAAGCATTATAATAAAGGAAAGACATGCAGATATCACCTTTCTCTTGCTGCTTGACCCACTAGTCTTCTGATCAAAGCCTTAAAAGGGAAGTGTAACATAATGAACTTAGAAGTATATACTTACAAACACTTTATAAACTAAAATATAATGTATTACAGACAATTAATAACTATTTATTATTTAGACACAAACAAAATTTACCAATGGATAGGCAATTGGAATGGCGTAACCACAGTAGCCAATACCATGGTTACAGCATTCCAAACCTCTCTCCATTAGCAAATTTTGTTCAACAAGAAAACTCCTGTAACCACAGTAACCATTAACCATGGTTACAGCATTCCAAACCTCTCTCCATTAGCAAATTTTGTTCAACAAGAAAACTCCTTTAACCACAGTAACCATTAACCATGGTTACAGCATTCCAAACCTCCTCCATTAGCAAATTTTGTTCAACAAGAAAATTCCTAATTCCTTCTTTTATGTTGTGCATTAATTTAATGGATAAACTTTCCTGGAACATCTATAAGGCTTAGACAGTTTTCCCTATGAAAGGCTTTTCAGTTTTTAAGTGAAATGTTTTCTGGATAAAAAAACACAGTGTAAAAGTACCAAGCAATGGTTGTCATACCTTTGATTGGTGATCCAGGGAAGTCAGTCAAAGGCAGAGCACCAATCTCTACCAAATGATCCACCTCTAGAAACAAGGACTGCTTGTCATGTGACTGGTTTTGACAACCTGTCTTTGGTTGCTTCTCGGCCTCCTTCTTTATCGCTTGTTTAGGATCTTTAGACTCTGTTGATCGGTCCTTTCTTGTCCCTTCAAGACTGTCAACATCAAGGTTTTTTGTGTGGAGTAGATGATACCTCTTTGATACTTTGTCACTGTTTTCTTCACTTATGACTTCAATAACCTTTTGCAAATAAGAAAGATAAATTGAAACATTAATCAAGATATTGTAACATGTGAAGTTCTATCACACAACCTGTCTTGCAAAAACATTTTTGCAGGTTGGACAAGCTTCTTAAACACATAACAGAGACTGCTTGCAATGCTAGACATTTTTTCAGTCCATTCTTTTTATTTGAAAGAAAAAATGAATTATCCTTGATTTTCTTGATTTACAACAATTTCAGCAAGTCAGGGGCAGATCTAAGGAATTGGTGAAGGAATTGTGCAAGCCCTCCCCCCCCCCCCCCTTCCAAAGAGCTGACAATCTTTTTATGGAGAATTGCTTGATGTGTTGACTAAAAGCAAACCTGGATTCATCTCTGATTGTATTTACCGTGAAGTGTGATCAATAATAATGATCTAAGTTTTATGCAAGACAAACTGCACAAGAGATTGACATTTGCAACAGTGCTTTCAGTGAATCAAATGTTTTGTCACTCACAGATAAGGGGAAGAATAACAGACTTACCAAGTAGTACTCCTTGTGATTTTTGAAGTGAAGATAAAAGTGACATTTACTGAGCTGACCAAGTTTACCTCTGGATGCCTCACTTATCGGTAAGTATGAGCGAGGAATCACAGGTAGCATAGCAATTGATCTGCGGCACTTGCAGAGATGAAGCTGACACCTAATATACCAACAAGAGTAAACCTCAATTTCATAGAACCGTGAAACCCCATCAAGATTGGCTGATTTAAAACAGGACATGTTGGTTTTGCAGAGGCAGGAAACCAAAAACCTAAAATGGCTTTCATACCTGACATCTCCTAGAAGAACTGGAAACTGCTTAGGGTTTGCATTCAATGCTTTCTCCATTGCAGAGCAAATTGCATTTTCTGTGAAACACAGATTAATATGTATTTAGGGAAATTGAGAATTTTAAAATAAGGTTGCACTCACTACTCACTTATCATATCAAGTATCCTACCTTCACCGCCACCAAGTGCAACTCTAAACTGGCCAGAACGAGTATCGATTGTTATGAGAAGCACCTCGCTGGGCGTGGCATCACTACAGGTGTGGATGGCAAGGCATGAATTTTGATGGTCTAACAGAACTAAAACAATACAGATGCGTGAGAAGACACATAAATAATATGGATACAACTCAAATGAATGATCGTATTCTCAAAAGAATGACATGCTGTCTGAAATGGAAAACATTTTTTTTTCAAATGCTGAATGGGAATACCTTTGGAGTTCAGTTTAAGGTCTTCTGAGAGCAGATTAAGGAGGTTCTAGAACAAAAGATAGATTGAATCAATATGGTATGACTTGAATAAAAAAAAGACTTGAATAAACAGTCATGGAAAGATAACATTCATACTGGTATTTGACATTCCAAAGATGAGAAAAAATGTGATCCAGTTGGCATTGAAATGCATTGTGGGACTGTCTTGGGGGAGGAAATGCTCGCAATCTTGCAAATATGTCCCTTTAACAGTCCCACAATGCACTGCGATGCCAACTTAACCCAGTTTCCTCTACAACCTCAGAATGGCTAGTAATTGCAATCAGCTATTATGGATGATTTGGTGAGATGTCAAGATTGGTCAACAGTTGGTCAATTATGGATTGACATGTGATGTGCAGTGTTGGTAAAGTTTCAACCCAAGATTAGTCAACAGTTGGTCAATTGTTGATTGACATGTGATGTGAAGTGTTGGTAAAGTTTCAACCCAAGATTGGTCAACAGTTGGTCAATTATGGATTGACATGTGATGTGCAGTGTTTGTAAAATTTCAACACAAGATTGGTCAACAGTTGGTCAATTTTTGATTGACATGTGATGTGCAGTGTTGGTAAAGTTCCAACCCAAGATTGGTCAACAGTTGGTCAATTATGGATTGACATGTGATGTGAAGTGGTGGTAAAGATTCAACCCAAGATTGGCCAACAGTTGGTCAATTATGGATTGACATGTGATGTGATATGGTTGGTCATTTTTTTAGGTTGGTCCACGGTCCTTGACATGTATAGTATATACTCACGATTAGCTTCACATTTGACTGGATTCTTACTGTCTGCATCAACAGCTTCTCTACACAGAGCTCTCCTGGCTGTTAGCAATAGGAGAAATTATGAGCAGAAATAATGCACCGCAAAAACATCAAATTGCGTAGTTCCAGAAATTATCCATCCCACCTCCCCCTCCCCCTCAAAAAACAGTGAAAAAAGATGAGGTATTACTTACAAAGACAACATCTTTCATGTCATTTTTCATGTCACGGCTGATTTCTGGTTGATGGATTATTCTCAGTGATGGAGGTGTGTTCTCAGATTTATATGATATTGTTAACTTATTTGCCTGAGCTGTAAAAGGGAAAATAGGGTTTCATTTTTTGACAACTTTTTCAATAACTTCACAGGCTCTATCATGCATCAGTTTAAACTAATTTTAACTAATAGAGCATGTAGATAGGAATTGTTCACCCTTCACTGTAGGTTGATGAGATTCACATGGAACCAGAGGTGATGGCTGCTCTCCTCTCACTAATGCAGCCTATGGTTCAGTTCCCATACACGGTGTACTCAGTGCTTTATGGTGTTTAGTGATGCTACATGTAGGTGGTTCTCTTATTTGCTTTTTGTTTTCTTCTCTTCACAAAAATAAACTCCAATCAACTCCAATTTGCTCATGGAATGAGGTTAATTGTTAGCTGCTGGTTATCAAGTGCTTCCCTCACAAAACAAACAATAATTTTTATTACTGTATGCAGACTAGCATCTAGAAGCTGACATCTTGTATTGTAGCTTGTATTCGAAAGTCAGAGTAAATACACAGTACTAGACCATGTTTAAACCTTAAATAAGTAGTCACATACTTGGTGTTTGTACTGTTAATGGTTGTTGTTGTTGTTGTTGTCCTGATGTATTCCTGTTAGAGAGAGAAAAAAAGGGTGCTAAATAGACCTCCTTGAAGTTCAAAAATATGGTAGGACCTGTTCAAAAATGCAGCTTTGTTTTTGGTCTATAGAGGCTTTGTACCATCATGTCTGCCATCATGGCTGCCATCATATCATGGTCTAATGCCTCTATAGTCTCATTCACTTAGGGTTTGCCCCATCTCATCAGGTCATAATATTCATGTATGCCAACATTAGATTAAGTAAATAATACATAACTACCTTAGTTGATACAAACATGATTTTGGAATGCTGCACACCTTCACTGGAACACACAAATTATTATCAATGGAAAATTGATTTATAAACTTAAATCTTATTCTACCTCCAATAGTATAAAGTAAAACTTTGTTCGGAAATACTGCTGTCAATCTTTACATTCTCATGCCAACGTTCAGTAATCAGTTGCTTTGCCTGTAGAGAAAGGATAGAAACAAACTGTTTCTGCCATTTTCATAAACATGCGTACTCAGTAGCTGTGAGCTGCACCCTGAAATTTGGTTTTTTGCTTCCGCCAGTCAAAAATATGAAAGGTACAGACTGATTAGTTGTGACTGTCAGCAGCGAAAAACAAAATTCCAGCATGCAGCTTGCAGCTACCTAGTTTGCATGTTTATGAAAATGGAAGCAATTCTGTACAATTGCAAGTCCAGCTCTCTTATCTTCTGCTGGAGGTTTTTATTATAATCAAGAGAGAATAACTTGAGCAGAGTAGAAGAGCAACAGACACATGCCAGCAGATATATGGAGGTGTAAGGAGGGAAAATTTATGCTTGAAATATTTACCTGAAAATGGAGGACTTGAAGCTGGAGAGACAAACAAAATGTATCTAGACAGAGTTAAGGGGCAATTCTTTTAAAATTTCTTCCTCAAACAAGTAATATGATCATGGCAAAATCAAATAGTGTAATTCAAGGATACGCAAGCAGTTGTAAAGGTCAACCAAAGGGCTCTCTTCCTGGAAAAGTCGTGACTGGACAAGCTGGTGAATGTAGTTAATCTAGAGTACGGGAAACAATTAGATTTATGGTCACTTTCCATTTATTTCATGATCAGGTTCTGAAGTTGGGAGTATTAATTTTCGTGATTGAGAGAAAAATTTAAGTAAAAGTGTACTCTAATTAGTGTTTTAATTTCATAAATTAGTGAGAATAAAGTATGTAAAGGAATGCAAAATTTCAATACCTGTAGATCATGCACCAGTGACATGCCATCTGGAGAGCAAAAAAATAACCAATTAGATATGTGCCTTTAAACTCAAACTCTTTAATCCGTCCCTATCCAATCATTTTACTCAACTTGCTGGCACCCCCTCTTCCAACAGTAAGTGTTCTCTCATTCCTTTCTATATTCATTTATCATTTTTCTATTCATTCAACAGAAAAATAAAAATAAGGGGGGGAAAGGAAATGGAAAAAAAAGATATTGTCAGATGGTTTACCTCCTGTTTCAATGTCCTGAACGAGAATGTTGATAGACAGCAATCTCCATGGTAACGACGTGTCATCTCCCATTAAAGTTAATGATACCTAGAGATTCATATAACAATTTTACAAGACTCCTTCCTTCAAGTTTCTTTTGGAAATCTTCCATTTTGTTTTTGGGCTTCCTGTGGTTACTCTGCTGACCACAGGCAACCCAAATTAACAAACAATCGTATCTCACCTCAAATTCATGGTCCACATGAAAGGTAACCCTTCCATCATCTATGTTAAAACAAAAATATTAATATTAAGTGATCATCATCATCAAGATGATCATCATCCATCTTTCCAGATCCCCATTGATATATGGGCCATTTATTTCCATTAGGCAGAAAGGATTAAGGGTGGGCAGTTACATTTGTCGACAAGTTTGCAGCCTTTTTTATGACCATGGTCATCTTTTAAACCCGTTATTTTAACTCCACTATCTAATGAGATTTGGATGGTCAATGAACAATTATTATCATAATCTAATTTAATATTAATTTCATTATCAACATGACATCATCATCATCATCTTAATCCCTATTATTATCAATCATCATCATCTTCTCCATTATCATTAGCACCATCACTATCTTCATCTATCATCACCATCATCTTCATCACAATCATCAGTTTTCATTACCATTACAATCACCATCATCACCATCCTAATCCCTATTATCATCAATCATCATCATCTTCTTCTCCATTATCATCTTTAGCACCATCACTATCTTCATCTATCATCACCATCATCTTCATCACAATCATCGGTTTTCATTACCATTACAATCATCATCATCATCATCAACCTAATCCCTTTTGTTATCAATCATCATCATCATCTTCTCCATTATTATCATTAGCACCACCATCATCTGTCATCATCATCATCTTCATCACAATCATCAGTTTTCATTACCATTACAATCATTATCATCCTAATCCCTATTTTTATTAATCATCATCATCTTCTTCTTCTTCTCCACTATCATCATTAGCACCATCACTATCTTCATTTATCATCACCATAATCGTCATCACAATCATCAGTTTTCATTACCATCACAATCACCATCATCACTATCATAATTCTTAATATCATCAATCATCATCATCTTCTCCTCCATTATCATCATTAGCACCATCACTATCTTCATCTGTCATCACCATCATCTTCATCACAATCATCAGTTTTTATTACCATCACAATCACCATCATCACTATTATAATTCTTATTATCAATCCTACCACCTCATCATGATCATGACCATCATCATCATCTGTCAGTCTTTTACCTATTTTAATGTTTGTCATCTGTGGTGGTATTTCTGATATTACTAATCTATGTTGGATAACTTGGTTTAATCTCTGTAACGTCATTGTCTTCTCTGATGTGGTAATAGGATCTGGAGGTACTATCTTATCCTGCAATAAAATGTTTTAAACATATTAACCTTCACTTGACTGACCATATATAACTTATATACAGAAGAAAGCAATTGTATTCAGTTGATCTGAGAGAAAATTTGCAAAACTTTGTAGTCACTTTTTCTCTTGAAATCAAAGATTTCCAGGCAACCAAATGAGAAAAAAAAACATTGGTAATAAGAGGTTCAAAAAAAATCAAAAAAGGAGAGATATTAAGTAGATCTGAGCAAAGTCATGCCTGGAGCTGACATTCCAAGACAAGAAGGTATATTTAAGTATCTTATTACCCTTATGCATGTTGGGAGCCTACAATATGTTCCTGTAGTGAGAACATCAACAGCAGCAGGGAGACAAAATGTTGGCAGCCTGAAAATAACAAAATACCAAGGCTAGAATCAGTTTGATAATTATGAAACAAGAAAAAATAGACTTCAATCTTATCAAACCCTGATATAGCCTGTGGAAGTCAGGCCAAGGATAACTTGCAGATTGAATCATAATAGATCCTTTTTGGAATTGGTAAATTACTGCTGTGTTACTATTTAAGGATTATCCTCATTTCAGTGTCAATATATCAACAAATACTAATGATAAAGTATAAAGAATGCATTGCAAAATTGCACAGACCTTCACTGAAACACATGATTGTATTGAATATTATACACACAATTGATGCTGAGCAACTGAGAATTTGAAAGTGGAGTAAATATATCCAATGAGAAAAACCCTTCAATGAAGGGAGAGTCCTGACAAACTCTGCTCAAACTCACTGCATATTGTTGAGTTAAAAAATGATGTACCTTTAATTACTCCAGTCAGGCATGATAAAGGTATTGATTTGACGATTAATATTACGGGTAGTAACATATCATAATAAGACAATGTTTTGGTGTCCTCATGACACCATCATCAGGTCAAAATAAAATAATTAACAGATAACAAAAATATTTATGTTCAAGTTCAAAGTCCCTAGAGATTAGGTGAAGAGTTTTGCTTTTAAAGAGTCACTTTGAATATTCAGACACGGTTGGTGCTCGCGAATAAGGAACATTTCATATAGAAGACAATCAAATCTGCTGGAGCATTTCTTTAGTATGTGAAACATATCATATGTTATTGTTCTTGATTGACGTTGAATTTGGATGTGATTGTATATACTCCAGTGTTTCATTAAAAGAGCGTTAGTGTGGTAAGACTAATTAAAAACTACCTTGTTTCAATGGTAAGGGGTTAAGTAATTATAATGTAATAAAATACTAAATATAGATTTATTTTGCTACACATGGGTTGTTATAGACACAACTTTGGCCAAAATGCTAATTGTCCAAATGTGGTTAAAAAAATTCTTGATATAAGACAAAAGAACAGACAGATAAGTGATGATAGCATATAATAACATATTAAGTAAGACCTGTAGTTGGCTAAATAGACAGTTGCTGTAATATATCTACCTGAATTTCCAAACAGCATTCTTTATCTACCCCTCTCCCCCTAAGGGAAGGAAAAAGGGGGATGCCGATGGATATTTTTTTCATTTTAAAATAGGAACCCTCTTTAGATTATGTTACCCTTGGAAATATTAATTCCCATCTGCATATTATTGCATATGGAGGGGAAGGGGGATATTGGTGGTAGGGGGAGGGGGTGGGGTTGTTTAGATGGGGTGAAGGGAAAGGAAACTTTAAGGAAGTACAAAAAATATATCATCATCATTACCTTGCTTGGACCAAAGTTTCCCTTGCCATTCTCGCAAGCATGTCAGCAGTATCTACAAAAACCATTGATTGCTGGTCCAGAAATGTGGATATTACCTGAAATATACCAAACAGGCTATATAGAAATAATTGTCAACAATAGATGCTCTGCTCCAATATCAACAAGCTAGAGATTGGGACAATTATTTATCAAGATTAATGTATATAGATCTCAGGGGAGGGGAATCTTGGGCAAAAGTAACAGGTATGCTTGTCGTATCTCTTAGGGGTAAAAATCAGCAATTTGGTATCTTTCAGGGTGTTAAAATTGAAATTTAGAATTTCGAAATATGTTGGTACTTATATATGTCTTAGGGTTTAAACATTGTCTAACTACACCCTTTTAAAAAACCTTTGGTATATTTTAGGGGTATTTTTGAAAATTTCCAATGAGTATGCACAATTACTTTTACCCAGGAGTCCTCCCCAGCCCCCCTCCTCCACCAGGATCGGGATATAGATAACCAATTTTCAGATCAAGGATATGAACAAAATTCAAAAAGGGGTGATTTTTTTTCCATACCTGACATTTGTCAACCCTCTCAGCACTTGCTGCCCATTTGACCAGAGCAAGGAGCCTCACAAACTGCTGTCGAGTACGACTTGCAAACTGTACAATTTGAATTTTTCTATAAAGAAAATAACAAATACAGTAACTGAAGGATATGTCTCTTCTAGGAAACAACTGATCATCATAACAGACATATCAAGAATGTGTTGAGTCTGATATCATTCATGGAGTTTCGTAGTCCTCAGAAATACATTTCATTGGTTGGGACTGACAATGCAACAACTTGAATGAAAGTCATCTCCAGAGTCAAGTGAAAACATGAGTAGCCAAAATCACTAGTTTGCACGATATGCTTTTGAGTCATTTATGAACTGCTTCAATGGTGTCATCCAGTTTACAACCTTGAGTAATGTTAGTGCTGTACTGGTGTTCAACAAATGACTCACAACATAATTATTTATACAGTAATGATAAAAAGGTAGCGTAAGTTTTTTCATCTTTTCACGGTGTATAATTTACCTTTTTATCATTACTATTTCATTAAAAACACCGACGCAGCCCACACTAGTTTTTAGGTAGTTATCTCTTTTTATACTTATTTACTTATATTATACTTATTTAAAACTTTTTCATACTAGTATATGTACACTTACATACAAGAAAAATCAAGTACGATAAAGTATAATATTACCTTTCTATGTCATTCTTTCTTGGTAAACTGTAATGTAAAAGAACAATAATAAGCTTAACTTCATTAGCAATAGTTGCCAGGTTAAGGTGTTTGTTTATATTTATTACCTAGTCTTAAAAACCTCCCGAAAATTCAGGTTTTCGTTGGGATTTTTAAGTTATTATGCAGGTTTTACTACATTTTAAACCCTATTAAGTTTCGAAAGACATTTTTGTACACAAGACTAGTTTGAGGTTTAGACGAACTGGAATAACCTTACAAATTTCTATTACGATTTCTGAAAAAAAACTTTCAATGAAATATAAAAAAATAGGCTCTAAAGGAAGAAAAATGACTTACAGTTCAGAAAGGACGGTTAATTCATGGTAAGTCTTCTGTAGTAGAAAGTCTATGAGCATTGAAAGGTTGATCTTGCTGCCCTGTCCATCTTCAGTGGCCGCCATCTTGACCGGAAGCTATCTCGCTGGCTCGTCTTCACCCAACTACACATGCGTCTCATCCGTTATGTAAATGATCCAAGATGGCCGCCGAGTTAAACGGAGGGGAAATTCGAGCAAAACACGCGGAAAAATACTGATTTGGTGGCCAAAATGAACTATTTAGCTCCATAGGAACTTGATATGGCTAGTAAAGAAAATCTTGGAAGGATAAAGCATATTAATCTTACTACACAGCAGGTAAATGAGGCAGGGTTGTTGACGCGATTTGCAAGTGTTTCGATTCTTATTTAATCGGTCGACAACCCTCAAGACATCTAAAGCCACGTTTTGTAATATTAACTGATATAGCAAAAAGTACAATTGTATGATTGAAGGGCTCTACTTATGATTATTTGTCGCGGTTAAATAAAAGTTTTCGCTTTTTATTTTCAATAAAATATTCCCAAGAAATCAAATTATGTTCCATAATTTTTGACCTGAAACCACAAGAAGTGTCAGATTGCATGATCTAAATACAGTAAAAATCCAAAAGGCTATATAGCTAGAAGGTTTTGGTGTAATTTACGCAAAATAATAATAAAGACGTTGCTGGTATTTGATCTACTATTCAAAATAATGTATTCGTTTATTTTAAGGGCTGCTGAGCAACCTAAAAAGTGGGGGCTAAGATTGGAAAATATATGAGACTAGTATTGGAAAATGTGGGGGGGGGGGGGGGGGCCCCCCCCCCCCCCCCCCCCCCCCCCCCCCCAGCCCCTGTATTTGTTATCAATTTTTTGAATTTNAACCTAAAAAGTGGGGGCTAAGATTGGAAAATATAGGAGACTGGGAGGGGGGGGGGGGGGGGGGGGGGGGGGAGCCCTCCTCCCCTCCTCCCCCACCTCCACCGCAGCCCCTGTATTTGTTATCAATTTTTTGAATTTATTTAAAACATTTTTTTTGATGCTATGATTTGTTTCACTAATGCAAGCTAGAGTATGTTCACTCATAAATAAACATAACTGTTCACACATTACTGAGTTGAGCGTTGTGTGCATAGAATATTAAATGTAGTGGTAGTGCGTGTGAGTGAAAAGTGTCCCCAATTAGTGCGAAAGCGCTAGAACGACTAGACACTTAAATAAAAGTGATTTATTTTTTTTACACCAGTATTTGTAATCTGACATGTGTATTTGTTGTTTATAGCGACGGCTGAGACATCTTCACAGCATATCAGCAAGAAATATTAAACCAAATTTTCCATTGTCTGGTGCTACATTGTTAGAATATCTTCTAGAGACATTCTTCACTCTACATGTACAAGATACTAGCTCTCCTGGTATGATGATCTTAATCTTACTTATTTTTAAAATATTTTTATTTAGGTGATAAGTGAACTACGCCACCCCACCCCTTCACCTTTTGATGAGTCTTTTATATATGATTCATTACCTACTCACCCCTCCCCTGATGGTGAGCCCTATATGTGATTTGTCACCTACCCACCCCTCCCCTGATTATGAGCCCTATATGTGAAGCATCTCTCCATCTCTACCCTAGATAATGAGTCCAATATGTGATTTATCACCCCCAAGCCCATCCCTTCCCAAAACCACTTCTGTGACAAACTCATGTTCCTACCTATACTAGGTCTTATATAAATTTTTTTCCATTAATTTTTTCAGCCATCTACACAAGTGAGAAGATTCTTTATTCCTTGGTAGGTGTGCGATAATCATTTTTGTTTCCCCATTTTTACAATGATTTTTAGTGGCACACCATGCAATATACCACAAGGCACTTGTGTTTTCTTATATACAAACCAGCCTTCAAGCGACAAGGGAAACATTTTATGTTGTGTCACGAGAAAGTATGAAATCTCAATAATGATGCTAATATTTATTCACTGAACATACACACTTGAATTGTCAACATCTGATGGTTTTTTCTCATGTTGTGTCTATAGAATCCAACATGGTCCAGCTTTGAACTTAACACATTGAATGACATCCTCCAAACCTCTACCTCATGTATCCTTTTTACATTATTCAATATAGATACTGGAATTTTAGCTCCTACATTCAAAATAACAATAGTCCTCTTCATAGTTCCCAGTGCCATTTTGAAAGGTAGCCATGCCTTTGCATCGAAGCGACATGAACGGTGAGCTTGGAACAATAGAGACAAGTGAATACTTGTCCAAGGGTTTAAAAAAAAGGTCTCTATCATTGCAAGCTCACCGTTGGTCTCGCTTCGATGCAAAGACGTGGTTACCTTTCAAGATGGCACAGGGAACTGTGAAAGGGACTATTGTAACATTGTTACATTGAAGTCAAAATTCCAGGTTTCTGGCATTTGCGAGCAGTATTGTGCACTATATAATTAAGTATGACATTAAAAGCCTTAACAAGTTCATCAGTGATTATCGTCAAGTTATGGGGAGGACATCAGAGTAGCTATAGGCTTCTAATAGAGTGGAAAGTGGACTTGAAACTATTGCAGTATCTTGGAGATCAGGTAAAACAAATATTACTTTGAATCACATCTATATTGAATAAAGTCTTGACCCAAACAACAGATGCTTCAATGTATCTGCATTATCATGGAGCAAATAGACAGCTACAGTATTAACTACTGTTGGTCCAGTGGAGGCAAGTTACACTGACAGCTCATTTCCATTACAGATCAGAACAACACACCACCCACCTAACACGCTGATATTTGGTCTGGTCGATGGATACTATGGAGCTCCTGTCACTATCAATCCTTTTCCCAAGGTACTTTATAATTCAGAATTTAAACATATTTATATTATTCAGCTGCTAGCATTACTTGGTTGGTTGATATTTGCCATTCTGAGGCCGAGGAAAAAACTGGGTGGAGTTGGTATTGCATTGCATTGTGTGAATGTTTCGGGGGACAATATGGTATCAAATTTTGAAATATGTCCAATAAAAAATCCCACAATGCAATGCAATACCAACTCAACCCAGTTTTTCCCCTATCTTGGCATTGGCTAATAGAAACAAACTGGAACATTACAAATACAGAAACTTAAATCATTTTCAGTAGTAATAGCTGATATGATCCTAGATTTCAGGGAAAGTTTTTCTGTGTCAAATAATGTCTACCTTTGCAGCCTCAATAAACAATAATTATATTATAACAATTTTACTTTATTTCTAGACTGGTGACAGTGTTTCTTTTCCAAGCATCATTTCCTCCATTAAAGTTGAGTTGGACCAGGTATTTCTAGACTATTCAAGATACTAGCTTTTAATAGTTTTCCCATCATGTCTATGAGAAACCAACTGATATCCTTGTTACTTTTGTACTTCAATCAGGTCACACCAAGCTACAGCAAGGCATCTCTTGAGAGGTAAAGAAAATCCTTGTCTAATGAACAGATCATATTTAACTTTTGCCTTAGCTGTGGGTACATGCAGTGATCTGTCATTGAACTTGTGTCATTAAAAATGTAGCCAAATGCACTACTTTTTGTGTGCATTTAACGCATCTTGTAAAATTTAATTTTTTTGTTGCATGATAAGAGGAACTACCTTCTCTACGTTCTACTTTTCACAACTTACAGAAATTTTCTGCACATGACAAGTTACGACAGAATTGCCATGTGTAACTTGCATCTCTATTTTCATAAGACTATTGACCTTATTTATCTTGAAAACATTACACCTAAAGGAATAAGTTATTTTCACATGAAAAATCATTATCTGTAATGGTGCTTTTAGGCATCTTGATGTTAACTAAGATTTACACTTATTTTCTGATAACCTAGACTTGGTTCTCTACAAAGAGCTATAAGACAAACACAGATATCAATGCAAGAATGTCAGCAAAAGATTGAAGACAGGCTACTCACCACAGAGAAGTCTATGTTACAGGTATGATGGATGATAAAGATGGTGAATGACGATGTTGGTGGTGATGATGATGATCAATGATGATGATTTATGATGGTGGTGATGATGTTGATGGTGATGATGATGATGATCAATGATGATAAATAATGATGGATGATAGTGATGCTGATGATGATGATGATGGTAATCAATGATGTCGATGATAATGATGGTGGTGAATAATGATGGTGATCAAGAATAACGGTGGCGTGCTGATCATGATATCAATAATCAAGATTATGATGGTTATGGTATTTGTTATGATCAAGATTCCCAAGTGATGATGTTGATATTTATATTTAATTATATCTTTAGTATGATGATATCTTATTCTTTAGCTTGCAAAAAGGGAAAGCTTAAGACTAAAGGTAAAACTACTGCAGGAGGAACTTCTGGTCAAGGTTAAAGTAGTTAATAAAGGTGAGCCCAAAAAGAGTTGATGTCTCATATGGGAGTCAAGGGTGGGATAGCCTTAGTACACTTGCCTTTCACCTCTAGGTTCTTGGGTTTGATCCGTGAATTAGCCATGCCCTGACTTAGATCAGCCCAGAGGTTGTTTCAAGGTTTGATCTGTGAGTTAGCCATACCCTGACTTTGATCAGCCCAGAGGTTGTTTCAGGGTTTCAACTGTGAGTTATCCATTCCCTGACTTAGATCAGCCCAGAGGTTGTTTCAGGGTTTCAACTGTGAGTTAGCCATGCCCTGACTTAGATCAGCCTAGAGGTTGTTTCAGGGTTTGATCTGTGAGTTAGCCATGCCCTGACTTAGATCAGCCCAGAGGTTGTTTCAAGGTTTGATCTGTGAGTTAGCCGTGCCCTGACTTAGATCAGCCTAGAGGTCGTTTCAGGGTTTGATCTCTGAGTTAACCATGCCCTGACTTTGATCAACCCAGAGGTTGTTCCATTGTTCGATAAAATTTAGATTTACTAAAAAGGATTTTTTATTATTATTATAGAGAAAGAAGAAGAGAAAAGAATGTCTCTAACCATCAGAAAAAGAGGTAAGAAGATTAGTTTCAATATCTTTAAATTAATTTTCATGATCATTTTTGGACCAAATTGTTTTATTCATACATTTCACTTCAATTTTTTAGAACGGAACCTAGCAAAGAAGAGAAAGGACTTTGTAGAGAAAAACCTTCTACTAAGAGAACATAAACAAGCACATGTTGATAAAAGGTAAAGAAAATCTTTATTAAAGAAAATAAGGTTATGCTAGAGTATAATTTATTTTTATATTCATTATTTACTTATTGCATATTTATTTCACGAACAAAATAAACTACAATAATTAACAAATAAATAAACAAAAACAAAATCGAATACTTTACCTGAGTATAATTATTAAGTAAGAAAATAATTCTTTGTGCTTCACAGAGAATCACTATTAAAGTTAAATGCCCAGTTAAACATGAGAAGACGACAGCTGGCCTGTGAACTGACACATATCTATCCTATTACCACGGTAATCAGAGGATCTGGAAATGTAAGAATCTTAATTTAGGACATTGTTGTTTAGGGACTGTATTTTCTTATTTAACAAGTTTATTTTAATGCTGAATTCATATTTTTTATATTTTTAATTGCAGCAGGTTATTGAAGAAAATTATATTTGTGGTATTCGATTACCCAATTCTGAATCAAATGAATTTTCCTGTAAGTAAATAACTCACTTGAATGTGTACTCTTCTTACTGTCAGTTTAACAGTGATACTTTTATTAGTGGATGCACTTCATTAAATGAAATATAGTTGCATGGCCAGTTAAATATATTTCAATATTTAGTGTAAAAAAAAAACCTCTATTGGGCAGACACCAGGCAAGAGCCTAAAGGTGTCTGCTTAATAAAAACACCAATGTACTATGACAATTTTGCTTTGAAATATTAACGTCACTAAACAGTTGCCTTGGAAGTTAAAAACCTATTTCTTAAAGCTAATACAAAGTCAGTAGCCCTCACAGGTTAAAAAAATCTTGTTTGTAATTTCAGCAACAGATGATGAAACATTGTCATGTTCCCTTGGTTACGCATGTCATTTAGTATACATGATTAGTAAGATCATGGAGATACCTTTGCGTTATGCCATGTACCCAATGGGATCAAGGTCATCTATCATGAATTATGCTTTAGAGAAAGAGAAAGTAGCCGATAAGGAGAAGGAGTAAGTGAAATATTATTTATATATTTATTTATTAGTTGCTGTGTCGGTGGCGATGTTGGTGACATGAGATTTAGTGAGGATTAGTAGCAAGTCTAATATTCCTGGCGGAGGGGTGTGGGGAGTGAGGGACAAAGAGGAATTTGAGGTCTAGGTATGAGATTGTCCCTGTGTTTCCCTTTTGTTCCTTACTCCTGACTCCCCTCCCCTGGGGATATTAGACTACCTACTAATCCTCGCTCAACCAAATTATCAACAGCCAACACCAATAACTGACCAAGGAAAATACAGGCTCGTAGTCTATTTAGGATGTTGCTGGTAGTGTCTCATATGTATCATTTGTAATAAGTTATTCATGTAATAATATTTCTTTTCCCCTACAGGTTTCCATTGTTTACCAAAGGAAAAGAAAGAATCCAGTTTTATTATGGAATATTTTTATTGAATAAAAATATTGCTCAGGTAAACATGTGTTGCACCTGTGGTTATCAAACCTAATATTCCTGCTCTCATTACTGGAATTGTTTAATTGCAGCTTCGTCAGTATTATAATCTTCCAACTCCAAATCTACGGAAAACTTTACCAAACCTAAACGATATTCTTGTTAAGAAGTTTCAAGGAAGGTAAGTTATTGTCATGCTGTGCATCGTTTATTGAAGCAAGCATCGTAATCAAGCCATTTAAATCCCGGTTTGATGGGGTGGGNGGGTGGGGGTGGGGGGTGGGGACTTTCACCCCCGGAATATTTTGCAATTGAGACTATCGGAAACACGATTTCCTGGGTTTTGAGGGGAATTTGTATCAGAGTCATATAATATTATTAAGTGTCTTCCTAATCCCTTGCCTTCCCCTTTGTAAATGACTGGTACTACTGGGAGGGGGTGGGGGTGGGGGGTGGGGATTAAGGTACAGGGATTAGGGATGGCCCATAGTCCTTATTGTACCCAGCTATTGTACCAACACTTAACAAGGGAAGGGGAAGGGGAAGGAGAGGGACTGACTGATGACAAAGTGACAACAACCAGCTAAGCAGATTTTTGGTTGGGAGAATGAGGGTGCGAGACAAGCGACTTAAAGGCATGGAACTGAAAGTAATGTGTTGGTTGATTTCAGCTCTGACTCTCTGAAATCCACATCATATGCCATGAATGAACAAACTTCATTAAAATCACAGCTCGACAAAAAATCTAACGACTCTCCTCTTTCCAAGTCTAAAATAGACAATGATGTTTTAATTGAGAATATAAAAAGTGCTGACGGGACTAAACCACCGCTGATGGCAAAGCCTGTCGGCTCTATTAGCGTTGATGGTGATCAAAGTGCGAGCATATCGCCAACAAAACCACCGCTGATGCCTAAACCTGTCGGCTCTATTAGCGTTGATGGTGAACAAAATGTGAGCATATCGCCAACAAAACCCCCGCTGACGCCTAAACCTGTCGGCTCTCCTAGCGTTGATGGTGAACAAAATGTGAGCATATCGCCAACAAAACCACCGCTGATGCCTAAACCTGCAGGCTCTACTACTGTTGATGGACACCCGGATTACAGCACATCACCAACAAAGCCACCCTTACCTCCAAAACCGCGTAGCCCGTCCAGAAATACTAAAGATAAACAAGGAATCATAAACAGCGAAAATAAGCTGCTATCAATGGTCAACATTCGTTACGACGTCACTTCCGACCAAGATACGGACGATCAAAGACTAGAAGATTTGCCCGAACAAACGCTTGACCCGTCACATAAAATACGAGGCATTGAAAATAATGGAACGGTCTCTGTTGACCCGCCGACAATAATACCGCCTCCACAAGGCGCAACGCACAGGTTCTTTGAGAGAAGATCGCGGAAAAAATCCACTCCTGAAACTGCTGCGAAGGGACAGGAAAACAAGGCAGAGAAGAAAAAAAAGAGAAGGTCTTTACAGGATGTTCGGGGGGTCCCAGTCGAGGTGATGAGAGAAAGGGCGGCCTTACGAGCCGGAATAAACGAACAACGAAACCAGATGGGGAGACAGGCAGCAATAGCTGAATCCGGGGTGCAGTCAGGTATGTTAATTTAAGGTTAAGTATTCTTTATTTAAACAGGGCGTCCCTCGAGAGGTAGTACCCTTGTAATAGTAATTATCGTGGTGATAATATTGATCATGACGCTGATGATGGGTGCTGGTGCATGTTGTTAGTGACGATGATCAAAGTGGCGATTATCATGATACTGAATTGTTAAAGATTATTCTGCTCAATTTGTAATGTCATGTAAAACTAATCTGCACGACGAATGAATTGTTTTCCATTCACATGTTCCGTCCATTTTTTCTACATTTTCACTTCTCACTTTTTCCAAGATATATATACAAATAAATATCCCATTTGTCTTTGTCTTGGTTTTAGTAACCCGTTGTTTGACATTTGTCTATTTTATTTATCAGGTTCCACGTCAGAAAACTCGGTAGTATCGAACGAAATGGAATCCACCATTCACTCCTCATCAGAACAAATAAGACACCAAGACAACACTACCAATATCAACCCGATGATCAATTCCAGCTAACATAATCTATGCTGCAATATCACTGGCCTCTTTGTGACTCATGATTGGTTGACAAGGAAACTCGCGTATGTCCAAGCACTTTGATTGGCCTACACTCTTCGTGGCTCATGATTGGTCGACAAGTGAACCCATGTATGTCCAAGCACTTTGATTGGCTCACACTCTTCGTGGTTCATGATTAGTCGACAAGGAAACTCACGTACGTCCAAGCGCTCTTAATGGGTCTCACCTTCCGTTGCTCCTAATTGTCGTCAAGGTAGCCTCGTATTTCCAACAGTGTGATTGGCTTACACGCTCCGAAACTTATGTATTTCTAAGCACCGAGATTGGTCGCAGTCTTCGTGGTTTATGATTGGGTGACAGGGGAATCCACATATTTCCAAGCACTGTGATTGGCTTACTTCCTCCACATTGGTGATTGGTTCATAGCTACTATTCTTATTAAGAGTGTTTTTTTATTTACTTTAGTGGTTAGAAACCTTTAGAACACTATACTGCTATACTGAATCGATAACGATAGAGTAAAGTTCCAATAGGGGAACATTTCAAGAAATTCCAAAATGTGCGGAGAATAGCACATGAATAACGTTGAAATTAAAAAAAATTTTTTTTTCAAAAGACAAAAATAAATTAACGGGGACGCATCTTCTGTACAAAGATAATTTCATATGAAAAGCATGAAGAAATTTTAATATTCTTATATAGAAAACACTGATGATTATAATAAACTAGAGGCATCTAATGAGGGAAATTTTCATGTCAAAAGGAAAACAAACGATAAATGACAATATTGTGATGTCTCTTTCTTATGCAAGGGATATCACAATACACATCGAATCGAAATATGGCGATCAATATTTTATTTCTAGACTGACTAGCCTCTCATAATATGTTTCCACGTGAACACGATCGCGAAGCAGTCCATAACAATAGTTAGTCAAAGTGGTCGCCATATTTCGACTCGCTGTATGGTAGGAATTTTATGTAGAATTTGTAAAGTCAACATGTAAATAAATTCAACGAAATAACGATAAATAAAGTGAAAGAAAATTGCCTTGATTGCAATGAGATTAGAGAAAGGGAGAGAGAGAGACTTCGAGGAAAATAAGAGGAAAGAAAATAGGGATTAAAATCAAGGTAGGATTGAATACCAAAGAAGGGGGTAGGGTGGGTGTGCAAAGGATTTAACCACACCGAATCAAAGACGTTAAAGATCTAAAAGAATTTATTGAATTCGAATGTGATAAATATTTTATGAATCGATACAAAGGGTTGCAGTTATTCCAAAGTTTCAAGAATTGAAAGTAAAATTTTTTTAGTATCTATTAGCATTTCCAATTTTATACTCTTTTTTTCTAGACATTTTCATTTTCATACGACAATTTTTGTTGAGTTACTAGAACGAAAATACATGCACAAATAATGTACATAAACTGAGTAGTAAATAAAAGAAATTTTGAATGGGAAATACTAGCATTATCGTGATTGGCAGAGGCGTAATTCGTACTCTGATTGGCTAGAACAAATTATATGCGCACGCTTCCCATTCACAGAAAAGCCACTGTACAGTTCTGAGCACTTCAAAATCACACTGCTGACGTCAAATACAGCAGCCAATGAAGTCGCTCTAAATAAAACACGTACACGGACTCGCAAAATCCTCGTTAAAGCGATGCCTAATTTTATAATAAATTATTCTGGTATTTGATGCGAAGCTGAAAAATATTTACCAACAAGAAATAACTCGTAATACTATGATATTATAACTCATCGGTAACGGGTTTATCGTTCGTATCTTCTTCGTCTTTGGGTTTTTCTTCTTGTTTCGGTGTTGGTAAAGGTTCTTCAATTGTCTTGTCGGATGCTGAAGGTAGTTCAGCCTTTTCGTCGGGTTTTGGTGGCGATTCTTTGTTTTCTTGGTCGTTTTTCGCTTTATCAGGCAGTTCAGCCTTTTCGTCAGGTTTTGGTGGTGCTTCTTTCTTTTCTTGGTCGTTTTTCGCTTTTTTATTTTGTTTCTTGAAGGATTTTTTAGCCTTGAAACCGGAGTCGCTCTTGTCTGTTTTATTCTTTCCATTTGAACTTTTTGTTGTATTATTTGATGTTTTATTTCCTGCATCGGCTGAAATACAAAGAAAAGACATACATTTAATACAATACAAGCAGCTAGCTAACAAGAAATGTAGGTCGCAGATCGTGTTCACAAGATGAAAGTAGTTGAACGCGACATTGCAGGACTGAAGTGGTGGAAATCTAGATTCTACTTCTGCAACAGCGCACATCCGTTGCAAAAGAAAACAAAAGCTGTAATTTCGTGTTTGGTGGAAAAATGCGAGCGATTGTTGCAAAATTCTTAACGAACGAAAAGTATGAAATGTTTTTCCATCAATTATTCTGGCTACTTCACTCGGCCTCTCCTCCACACCACCACATCCCCCGAATTAATGATCTGCTAGCTTACCAGTTTCGTTGACTTTTGGTTTAGGTACAAAGTACTTGGCCTTGTTCAGTAAATATACTAGTTCTCGATCTATTTTAGCTTGTTTGGCTTCAATATCTTTAGCTAAAATCACTGGGTTCTCGTGCGGTTTGGTCTCGTTCTGTTTTTTTATCATTAACGTCAACCAGTCCTACAACACATTGAAAAAATACAATATCAGTTACGGTGCTTTTCGATAGCACGCGCGGAATCTTCGTCCATTTCGATGGATCGTAGTTTAATCAACGTATTTCCATGACATTCCATTTTCGTTTACAACTTTGTATTTTCACTTACCATCGTCTCGTTGTTGACCTTTGACAGCTCCTCCAGATCTTTAGCTGTAAAGATCTCATTCTTGTCAGTCATGTTTTGTATTTGATTATAGAATGTGCTGGAAAGATTGAGGCTTTGTAACAACGCCGCGACAGCTTTTGGGCGCAGTTCATGTTCTTTCAGACGACGTCGGAAGTCAATGGAAATCTTCTTGAGAGCCTTGAGTTTCTCTTCGTAAACCTTGGGTAGGAAACAGACAAAAACGTACTTGTTAAAAGATCAAACTGTGTACAATTTCTATTTTAGGTATTGAAAAGTTGATAAATAAATGAAAATGAGAAAAGAAGGAATGGAAGAAAAAAGAACGAAAGGAAGGGAAAGAGAAGAACGAAGGAACAAAGGAAGGAAAAGATAGGGAGGGTGAAAGAAAATAGAAAGAGAATGAAATAAAAAGGAAAAATAGGAAATAAATTCCCGTCTTTCCAGACAAGAATTCAAAAACTTCCGATTCTTTCTGCAACAACAAATACACAATACTTACATCAGCAGTTGTGTCCCAGCCCTCGTCGTCCAGCCAATCCGAGGCCTGACTAAGGGCCTGGTTAATAGTATCTCGTTCTGCTTCAGTAGACAGTTCCTCACCAACATCGCTATACAGCTTGTCACGGGTTTCAAATATGTGACTCTCCAGGGTGTTCTTCATTCGCTCTTTGGCTGCCTTGGCATCATCGATTTCTTGTAGCTTGGTTAATCTAGAGACGAATAAAAAATATCGATCAAAAAAAACTTATCAACTGCACAGGTGAATTCTGGGGTATAAAAATACCATGTATTGTATGATTGTATGATTAATAACGTACTTTGAACCTAAACAGCCTCAGACACTATATTGTGACGCGGTCACGGTCACACAACGGCCGTAACTTTTCACAAGCCATTCGAATTTGCTCTAACAATGAATGGTAGATAATAAGGCTTGTTTACATACTTTTCCTTGGATTCAGTCAGGCTTTTCTCTGAAGGATCAACCAAGTCTTGTATCTCTATCACAGTCTCCAGGGGTTCACGTATCACCACGGGTTTGACTGGCTTCTTCTCTGCTTCCTCCGTCCCATTGGCTTTAGCAGACTAAAACAATAAAAATCAACTACTTAGTAAATGGACAGACGGACAGACAGAAAAGTGATTTTACCGGCCTACGGACAGACAGACCGAGGCGCAGACCACCAGACGGACGGACAGACCGACTGTGGCGCAAAAACCTCCAGACGGACGGACAGACCGACTGTGGCGCAAAAACCTCCAGACGGACGGACAGACC